TTGGATGATGGAACGGCTCGTATTATTATTGGAATGCGGCTCAAACAAAAAGCATTGCAATGGTTTCATTCAAAACCTGAGCATTTGGAAATAACGGTTGATGAACTTATTGAAAGGATGAAGAAGATTTTTGATCACCGGCCAACGAGAATGGATCTCCGGAAGAAATTTGAAAAAAGAGTTTGGCGTAGTGACGAAACGTTCAGCAGCTATTTTTACGACAAGACGATCCTTGCGAATAGAGTACCTATTGACGAAGACGAGATTGTGGATTACGTGGTAGATGGTATTCCTGATGAATTAACACGAAATCAGGCTCGCATTCAGGGATTTACGAAGAAAGAAGACTTATTGAAAGCATTTGAGAAGGTGACATTTAAAAATCTCACGCGGGAAAATGGAAATTCTACCGCGCATAAAACAGATTTTAAGCACAAGACGAAGCCGCAGTCCCAGGAAGCAGTACAACGTGGTGCGGAAATTAAGTGCTACAATTGTAATCAAGCAGGACATGTAGCGAAGAACTGCAGTAAACCAAAAAGAGAGCGTGGATCGTGTTACGAGTGCGGGGCGACGGATCATCAATTACGAGATTGTCCGCAGAAGAAGAAGACGGTCACATCTCTGAAGACGTCGGCGCAAACGAAGACAGCGACAATCTCCAATGTTGAGGAGCGGCAGCAGGACGCCAACGAGTTTCTTCGGGCTGTTAAACTTAAGATAAGTAGGGACGGATTGTTTTGTGAACGGGAGTGCGAATCACAATTAGATACCGCGAGTCCAATAAGTTTGATTAAATCTAGACTTGTTCCGACGAATTTAATTTATGAAAATGTTGATAATCGTTACGAAGGAATTAACGGTTCCGCCTTAGAAATTTTAGGACAAATTAAAGCTAAGATTTTTGTCGAGGACCTCATTGTTGATGATGTTACGTTTCGGGTCGTTCCTGATCACGCGATGAAATGCGATTCAATATTGGGAAGGGACGTAATTAAAAAGCTGAACCTCATTTTAGTATGGCAGAAAGAGAGAAAAAACGAAGACATAATTTGTGAAATATTAAATATTGAATCAAGTGTATCTGAAGGTGACGAGATAGACAATCTAGACGTAAATCCGGAAGTGCCTAGTGACGTG